AGTATTGGCCAGTGAATAGAGGTACCGGTAAGTCATGTTCAGGGGATTAAAGGTCTCCCAGGACTATCTGTAACTCAGCCAACAGTATAGTCCTACAAGAGGTTTCATCCTTCCTAAGGGTTTTATTTTTATATGTTCTTTTTTCTACTATCAACAGCACTTCACATGCCTTGTTCTGCAAAGTGATTTTATTTTCTGAGGTAGTCTGAGGTAGAGACAGGCTGGAATTAAGTGCATGCTGCCATTTTTCATTGTTCATTAATGCATAAAATCAATTTGAAAATGTGCACAGGTTCTGAATAACTACAGCATGTGTACGCTACATTTAATTAAATTACTTGTCAGAGTAACAGATCTGAAACATTTTGTGTCTTGTCATTAATCTAATCTGGAGCTGGTTTTCTTTCTCCCCCCCCCATTTGACTGTTTTCAGGAGAACAGAGTGACTGATGCAACAACTTGTAAGAGAGAAACACGGGTCTCTACAATGTATATGTGACAATATGCAACAAATGTTCCTTTTTAAAGAGGCAAAAAAGTGAGTGGAAGAATTCTTTAGTTACTTTTTTTGCATCCATGGACTGTGTGGTAACTTTGAGTCTGTGCCTGATGAATGTGTAATGGGTCGTAACTGGGCTCATCCAAATTTCAGACCAGTGATGGTAAAACTTTTTTCTTTTCCAGTTATGCATGAGAACACTGTGGGATATTACTATGAAAGCATTACATCACTCACAGCTTCTTGTTTGAGGAAACTGATGGGTTTCTTTTAAAAATCTTGGCATGGCTTATCCTCTGTTATTTATTGAAGTTTTTGCTTGATGGGTAAGGCTTCACCTAATCATTACTCTTAAGTTTAGAGATGAGGTAATAGATATGTTTGGGATTCTTTGGGCTTAGGATGTACTGAATAGACTGTTCAACCTCACTGTGGAAACACATGCAGGCAAAGTCACGTTTAATAGCTGCTCGTAAGTGACCAAACCCTTCTGTTCTCTGGGAACTGCCCAGCAAGTTTGAGTCAACCAATAAGATAATTTCCTCACTCCTACACTCTACAGTAAAGAAAGGGCACCTCAGTCCTTCTGGCTTCATTTTTGCATGGAGTGGAGACTTATTTCAAACAGCTGAAAGTGAAAACACCTCCCTAGGGACTTTATTTCTAACTCAAATCATCAGTGTGTTTATTTAAGTGATTTGTAATAGGACAGCGGGTCCCGCAAGCCAATATAAATCATATAGGGATGACTAACACAATGGAAATACCACTCACAACATATTATCCATGCAGTGTTGTAATGTAATCTAAAGGTGTTATGATTGTGTTATTGTTAGCCTCGCCATATAACATTTAAAAATTGTCATTGTTAAAAATGTTATTAATAATCCCCTTTAAGTAACACAGAAGACAAGTTCATATATCATTAGACTGATAAACTTTCTCGCAAGTGCTGTGCAAAAAGATTATCCTACACAATTACAAATCTCCATAGCTTTCACTCAGGCACCACCATTTATCATCCACCTAATGTAAATGTTATAGGGTCAAGTGTTTGAGCGAGAAAAAGCCACTAAGGTTATCTACTGAGGACCCTCCAGAGTATATATTTTGTTGGACAAGACTCCCAGGGCCATTAGAAAGCTCAGCAGAGATAGTTGACATACCAAGACAGAAATTACTGAGTCTTGACAGTTTCAAACCACTAGCTTCATTTCAGTATTTCAATGATTAATCTGAATGCTGAAATTTGAGTAACTCAGATGTTGCAGTGCACAAAAGTAAATTTACTGGTTAAACAACTGCCTGTAGAGTAAAGGGTTTTCTATCCTTATTTTGAAGTTTAATTGCAAAACATCCCCATAAACCAGTATTGAATTTTTTATTACTGTATTGTTGTTTTGCAATGCAGTGAATTACTGAACATTCTCATTTTTCAAGTAACACAAATATATCTACTTTTTTTCTTTTACAACCCACAGACCTTGACATTGTCAGAGTGTCAACACTGTGATATTCAGTATGTCCTGAGGTTTTCCTCACCACACAGTAGTTCCTGATCTTTAACCACTGAACAGCAAACACTTGGAACGACATTCCCACCAGTTCAGAAGCAATGTCTTTCAATATTTATAGTCAGCTAGGCTGGTATATTTTCCTGGCTTTGTAAAGATATGATTATGTTTTCAAATCAGACAAATTAGTAACTCTACATTATTTATTTATTTATTTTTGACATTCAGACTATATACCAATTTATTCTGTTAAGTAATTAAAAAAAAAATAGAACATTTCTGAAGAAAGTTTGAATCTGTCAACATAACTACTGCTGTGGAAAGCCCAGACTATCTTCTTTCAGATGCCAGTAAAATTGACTTGGCTGCTTAGGTCTTATCTTACATCTTTCCCTCTGCCACAACAGTCATGACTTGCTTGGTCTTAAATATGTGATAAGAGTTCGATGGTGAAGCCTCTGATTGAAACGTAGCGATTTTAAAACAAACACACCACTATGGATGATCTCATCTACAGACTAAAGTGACTGCTTTGATATATTGTTGGTTAAAATCAGAGTTTTAGAAGTTTTTTTTTAACCCAAAATGTAAGGTGAGGATGCACCAGTAGTGCGTGAAAACAAGAAAACACCAGTTGACAAAGACCTACAATCATTTGTTAGTTATATATTTCTATTTTCTATTTTGCTTTTTCTACCCCAAATTTTGGAGAAGTATTTGCTTATATGAGCGGTAACAGATAACTAAATATCTTAGATTTCTGTTGTTGCACAGTTACTAAGAGCTTTATACTAATATCTCTTTGGGCGTAGTCATCTCTGTTTGAGGTATGAAGAGCAGCATTAATCTGGACATCTATTTCCTATAGCTGACTGCTTTGCAAAGTGGAATATTCATTAAAGTGCTTTATATTTTGATGAAAATTGAAAACCTATGAGACGCTTTTGTTATTAGCCTCCTTCACCTTTTGCACCTGCTACAACAAAGCATCATCACTGGTCCTTATCTTCCCAAGGTGATCTTAGCTAGAAGCATTGCACAAAGGCATAATAATAAAAGGTTTAGTATAATATAGATCAAGTCCACTTTAGTGTGGGTCACTGACCCAAACTGTATCGGCTCTTTCCAACCTTAATAGTCTGCTCCTCTGGGAGCATAATGTTTGGATTGGTTGGGAAATATATTGGCAATAAAGAGACAAAAGGATGTCATAAATGTTGATTAAAGCTCTGGTTAAAAGACAAAGGCGGAGAGGCTCTGAGTTATGAGGGCTTTTCAGACTGCGTTATTGTTTCAGTGACAGAGCTCTTAGTGTGTCTAGTGGAGTGGCGAGTGGTAAACATTTCTCAATGTGTGAGGAGTCATTAATCCCTGGAACCGAGGATGGCTTCACTACCAGTGTCTGTGGCCCAAGAAATCACAGCCAGTTGGCACCAGCAGGTCGTGCAGAGCTCCAACATAAATGCTTTGTACTTCAGAGCTGTTTAAATCTCTTCTATGTGCTGTAGCTAAGGCACGCTTTAGAAAGGGCAACAGGCAACACTCTGTGTTTTGCACATTCAGTTCATTTGCCAGTCAAGCTGTTGATGATGCATTGAGTCCTGCCAGGTTATAGTCTCACTGTGAAACATAAGCAAAAAATGAAGCCAGTTTGACGAAAACACGTTTGTGAGGCCCTGACAGTAACGTCAGGGAGTAATACAGTATGCAGATTGTCACTGAGGCTGAATCGTAATTCTGGCAAAAAGTAACTTTCCTGTTTCTGGAGTCATTAGACTTGGTCATGTATGTTTATTATAATTTATTTTGAAGAGATTCCCAGTTTCATAATTACTTTAGGTTCTTTAGGTTTGTAGGTAGAGCTTTCCCAAATTCTACTTGAATTTTTGAATTAGCAAATCCGAGGACCACAAGTCTGAGAAAATTTGTATTCTTGCATGAAAAACACTTCACTCATCATGTCACACAAGCGCACACAAGGTACATTGTAAAGGTCAGTTTCTGCTTGGTTCCTTTTAAAGGGGGACTTTTGTTGTGTTTCCTTGTTTTCTCTCATGTACATAAATATATAATACTGCCATAATCAAAGCTCCTGCGAGAGGAAACAGCCCTAATATAGTCATCCCAGTCATCTAGCCTGATGTTCAAACCTTCTGTTTGCAAGGGGGAGTCAATCAATAGAAAGCTGGCGTAAAGGAAGTGTAGCTTTTAAAAGAGGAGTTAAAACGTCTTGGTTCAGCAGTGGATTTGCTGTGAGGCTGTGGCTAATGTTCAAAGCTACTGAGTCCAAGAATAAAGATATGGAGCTGGAAATCAGCAAATAGTAGAACCTTCTGAGCTACAGCCAGGTGGCAGAGCAGGTCAGCCACTAATCAGAAGGTCGGTGGTTCGATCCCAGGCTGCATGCCAAATATCCTTGGGCAAGATACTAACCCCATGTTTGCCTACTGGTGGTGGTCTTCTAGTCATGCACAGGCCCAGTGGCGCCTGTATCTGGCAGCCTCGCCTCTGTCAGTGAGCCCCAGGGCAACTGTGGCTACAATGTAGCTTGCTATCGCCAGTGTGTGAATGGGTGAATGACTGAATGTAGTGTAAAGCGCTTTGGGGTCCTATGGACTAGAAAAGCGCTATACAAATGCAGGCCATTTACTTGTAGGGAGCTTCTTATTATAAAGTTTCAATTTTGTTGGTCAAAGTTTGCAGGGTCTTGATTATACTTCACGCGTGGGACTGTTTAGCAGGTTTTCCCGTTTATCGCTCTCGCAGTTGACAGATAGAAGCTGCAGCACCGCACGTTTATTTGCACTCATTGCTCTGTACTGGCGCTCCAGCTTTGGACCACACCCACCGAGGGCCAGCGGTGTTCATACATGCCCCTGGGCGTGCATTTGCAAACTCCGCCCCCGCTGGCTCCACCTACCAGCGGACCACAATGATTTAGAAGTTCAGGAATCCCACGTGACGTCACCCAGGGTGACGTTATGCTCTCTAAATAGATCGTATTGTAATCTTTTCTCAGTCCAACGTGGTTTCTTCTGAGAGACTGCTTCACATTTTCTGCACTTGTTTGGTAAGTTGAAAGCCTTGCCACCATGCAGAGGACCGTGCACGCGCCTCTGCAGGTTTGTCATCTTTTTATTTTTATTCTTTTAAAAAGCGATTCTTCTCACTTGTCCTTCTCCCTTTTTCATGCAACAGCTTGTTTTCTCGTTCGCTTCAGCAGTCTTTCTAAAGATGTGATTTTGTTTTATTTCTTTCACCTCCTGGTGTCTGCAGCTTTGTGTCGTGCGAGTTTTGTTTGAGTGAGTGCATTGTCATGTCACTTCGCGCTCCGTGTGTTTGGCCTGTCTCTTACACTGTTGTTGAAGTTGAATCGCGGAGTCAAGTGCCTCTGCAGCTCGGTCTGTCAGGTAGCAGCTAAGGCAAGTCTGCAGAAAATTATCTGAAAGGACAAAAACACGAACATTTTTATTGCAACGGGCGCTTTTCGTTGCACTTCACACCAATTTGGCACGTCTTCTAATTTTTCATTTAGCTCTAAATCTCCGAAGCTGGACCCCTGCATCATTGTCATGCCTGTCCCATCCAGGGATACGCAGAGCAGGCTAATCTTCGGGACTCGTGCGTGCTGCGGTTCACCAATGACTGTCTGGAATATAATGGGCCGGTGGTTACGCTGTTACCCCAGGGTATCCCTGTTTACGTTAAATTTATGTTCCTCTTTTTCTCTTGAACAGCAATGTTCATCAAGATTACGTCATTCTGCAGGCCAGTCGATATTTGATTAAGCGCTAAGATGTTGAGGGTTACTTTGAGTAAGGTTGTGCTGACGGTGCGCACTTTGTGACGGAACGGCTTTTTTAAAAAAAAGAGAAAGATGCTTTAATTATTTGATTGCTCTCCGGCCGCTATCATTATGTTTATGTGACAGCACTATCAATAACACATGTTTCTCGTACACGATTCCACTTATTGTGCCCGAGTTTTTATTCGGTGTCGTAATAACGCCTGTTAAAGTGTTATTTATGCCTGTTGCGACTTTTTTCAGCATTTAATGTAGACTGGGATGGAGTTTCTTTGTATGAAAGCTTTTACAATAATTTGTCTCCTTAAAAATATGTAGCCTATCAGATTGAGTAAAGTTAACTTGCTGGACAATTTTTTTTTTTTTTAAAGCAAAAATACATCATCCAAAAATAGTTCATAATAATTATTAGGATTTACATAAACTTAGACCAAGTATCATAAGCTATAGTTAATGCATTTAAAGTTACTTGTTTATTCTATAATAGTGTTATTTACTAACCTTCATGGATATATGTTTTTTACATGTTAAGCTGGATTGCAGCAGTAAACTGTTAGTTGCATTTCTTGTGCTTGAGGTACCCCTGGTAATGTCTCTACTAATATAGAAGGTGTGAAAAGGTAGCAAACATAAAGGCAGTCTCAAGTCTGAGCAACAAGTACACCACAGAAGTTAGAGCATTTTATTTTAATACTAGAGCTTTCTTTTCACCTTTACCTGCAAAGTTCTGCAAAGTGAACGCTAAGAATAATACAGTTAGAATAATGTGAGCAGTACTAATCCCATGCTAGACCTCTGAGGGTTCATTTTTTGATTTATGAGTTTATGTTGACTCAGAGACCAGTAATTGAAAGCTTTTGAAGTTTATATTTCAGTCAAACCAGTCTTCTAGTCATGCATTGAGTTTAAGAGCAGAAGTTCAGTGCAGACATTGTCAGAGAGGTCCCGTGTACGTTGTCTCAGGGTTCGCCGTAATCCTTCCTTCAATTTGTACTCTCAAAAGCCCAGGTTATGGCACTGGAGCTGGAGAGTTGAATTGCTGTGCATGTTTGTGCTTGCTTTAACCCCATATGCCTTTGCACCCCAACCCTTCTTTTCCTCACCATATTGTTTAAATTCTAATATGCGTTCTACCTGGAGAGTTCTTCCCAAGTTCCTCTTGAAATCGAATGCCGGACCGTAATCCTTCCCCTCACTCACATCAGGATACAGTTAATGTAAAGTGTAACCAAATTTCCTCTGCTAAATGAAAACATCTATATTAAATGAGAGCCAAGTGCCCTGTCCAAGGAAAGGGCGTTGAATGCTGATAATTTGAAGTGTGAAAGCTATTGGATAATTCGCAGAGGCATTCGCAGAATTAATGGCTGGAAGTTTTATGTATCATATGGTTTGAATTTCCTAGTAAATGTGAGGGAATGATCGAGTCCCGTTTTAGAAACAGGAACAGGAAGGTAAAGGTTTCTGTTTTTTACAGTTATGGAAACAATTTTTCTCTTATTTTTTTAATGCCTTGCTTTAAAGTTTTTATGTTTCAAGAACTGTTTCAAATTCATACTGGCAATCAAGAAGGGAGCTAGTAAACAACAGTTCCAACAAGAGTTGAAACACAACAGCTGATTCATGCTGTTTCATGAACATTTGGGGCCTTTATTTAATACACGAGTGAGTAGCGCCATATCTACAGACACTGTTTTTGTCATCTAGCGCTTAGTTTTATTTAATGATCAGCAGTGTTGGTCGTGTTTGTTGTGTCAAAATAGACCAGGTGAGTTTTTAGGGGCCCTGTTTTAGAGAACTGAACTGGTGATAGAAAGAGAGACCAGGTCTCATTGCTCTCTGACAGTGAGACCCTTTCCAGACCCTGTTCAAGCGGGCTTGGTCATGAAGTACAACTTGTTAGGAAAACAGGACTGCTTAGCATAACACAATATTTGACTGTTTTGACTGCGCTTAAGGAAATAGCCTGTACCTATGAAAAAGACACACATGCACATAGTGTATGAAAGTATTCATGCCTGACACTTGACATGCCGCACTGACTTATTACAGACTTATTACAGAATTACAGATGTGGTGCGGTTCTTGTGAACTGGTAGGAGGGAGAGGTGATAATAATGCAAGCGATAAAAGGAAATGTTTAATGTGCCATTAAATAAAAATGATGTGGTCCAGTATCAGTGTTGTAAATACTGCAGATGTTTTAGTTGTACTGAGAGGACACATGATAAACCACAGACCTATTTGATGATCATCAAACTCTTAGTGTCTTATTAATCCCCCTTCTCTGATTACATTTAAGTTGTGCAATAAAAAGCAGATAAAACTAAGCAGAAAAAGTTTTGTGTCTCATTTTACGTCATAATGCCAAATTTTCTTTATTTAACTGCAATTCTAAGTTATTGTAACATAGAAGAAATAGGTTTCTGTGCAACTATCATGCAGCCAAGACTCATAAGGCTCATAAGGCCAAGAATCATTAAATAATTAAATACAAAATCCATTTCTTATATGGCTAGACACCCCAATGGTCCACATGCGCTTTGTGGGCTTTGCATTGAAACCACACATCAGCCAAGTGTGGTTTCCATGTGTGGGGTGTGAAATAGGGATGCAAGAATGGTTAAGAAATGTTATGTTAAAATAACAACTTGGAAAGTACCAATGCAGCATATATGGGTTTTTTTTATCGGTATGTAATAATTTGTGCCAATGAAAACTACATTAAAATCTTTCAGTTCTCCACAACTTGGTAAATGGCAGCCAGCAAGGCTGATATAAGCCAGTACTGATGTTCCTTATATATAATGGTGCATCCCTGTTTTGCATGTTTTGCATGTTCATGTCCACCTTCACTCTAAAAGACAAATAATCGTACTTACTTAACATCTGGTATGACATCCGTCTAAAAGTGCTTGGCATTTGTGTTATTGAAATGTGATGACTGCTCAGAGGCTCTTTGTTAGTGTTTATTAGAAGAATAGTTTATACTTTTGCACTGTAACAATAATAAGATCTCGAAATACTAAATAAGCTGCGAACCAAGTATGATGTCGCAAAAAAAAGTACAAGGATTGCACAAATAATATTTTTTGCTCAGTAGTTTGCAGACTGTGATGAAAACCGTTTTTCTCTTTTACACAAGTGAGATAAATTTCTGTGTTTAATGTTGTCTAAACACAAAGATCTTAACAAAAATTGTTTCAGTAAAAATGCAAATGCAAGCAAAAATTTAGCTCAGAATCTGACCAAACTTCAAGTATACTGTGTGTGTTGCCTTGGTAAGCTTACAAGTGGTTGGCATCCTGAATATCACTTTAAAAAAAAGTCAAACGTCAAAATAAAATGTAGTAATAATAATAAAAAGATATATTCCTTCCTATTCCTGCCTAAAATAATTTAAAAAAATTATTGGCAGGAACAATAAAGTAAGATGCTGTAAACCTGTGCAATATAAATGTTTGAATGTGTGCGCTCCATCATGTGGATATCATATTTCACATAGGTGTTGTTTAATGCGTTTGATGTTGATCGATATATTTTAAAATCCAACTGTTGTTTCCGTAATTTATTTGAAATGTATGAAAAAATACAGTTGAAAATTTTGACTTCTTTAACTGGTTTTGCCTGATTGGGTTTTTCAAAGTTAAAAGAGGAAAAGGATAAAATTTGAAATAATTTGTAGAGGTTCATTTTTAGTGTTTTTATCTTTTACCATCGCTTGTCCCATTTTGCTTTGAATTCTTAAAGTTAAAATGATATGGGTGCACTGAGAAGTTCCTAAAGTGCACGTTAAAAAAACCTGAGGCCCGCTTACTTTTAAGCTTTAAAACTAACACCAACTAAAGTTCCTTTTCTTCTTTCTATCAAATAAGCTGCACTTTCTGACTGTGCACGGCTGCACAGCCGCTGCTTCCTTTTCTTGTTCTCACTAAAAGATGCATAACCAGCGAATCAATTCATTAAGAAACCGATGACTGTATGGCTGAAACTTAAATGTGGAGCTATTTTTTCCAGATGTAGGTGCCTTTTATTTAAAGTCAATTTTGTCTTACTACATAGCTGCCTTAATAAAAAATATATAAGTACTGAGAAACAGTGTCTATATAGATACATTTGTTCATTTTGTTTATTACCAGCTTTAAAGTGTGTTACAATCTATGTGGTAATGTGCAATAAAAACGTGGATATAAAGAAAATCCATCTATCGAAATATTTAAAAGTTTTCCCAGTGGTTGAGTTTTGCTGAAGTTATTGGACCCAGTGTTTCCACAACCTCAGCCTTGATGTCATTTTAGTGGAGCCCAGATTACTGTAGCGTGAGAAAACTAGTGCAGGTGCAGTAGCAGTTTCATGTCTAGCATGACACGAGCGTATTTTCCCTCGTCTAAGGAAAGCAAAATTATTCAGCTCTCCTCACTGCTTTCTTCTTTTGTCTTTTTCTGTAGTTTTATGAGAAGTTGGCCAGAGTGATGAACTCGGACCAGGAAAGGCCGTTCGTGTGCAACGCTCCTGGCTGTTCTCAGGTGAGACTGTCGTGATAAAACTCAATGCGTACATGTGCATGTGTATATGTATGTCTGCCTGTGATATCAATACACCAAAGAGGGATTCGGAGTAGATTTATCTCTCGCGCATGAGGGAAAAACGCAATACCATGGAAGTGCTTGAAACACAAACTGTGATCGGGTCTAGTGTTAAAATACCTAAAGAAAAAAAAGTTTCTTTTAGGATGTAGTCAAGAATGACTACAATAACAGTGAATGTTATTTTAGGGTAGTGCTTCATTTCTTATCAGTTACTCATACTTGTCTCTTTACATATGTACAATTCCTTTTTTTTCAACAGCGATTCCCCACAGAGGACCATCTAATGATACATCGACACAAACATGAGATGACCCTTAAGTTCCCCTCCATAAAGAACGACAACATGTTATCAGGTGAGTTATGCTCCTTCAATACAGACTACCTCACTATTTGAGCAGGGTTTGAAAGAAACTTGGAGTTTGTTTGCAGCTGTGTCTTTGTGACTCATGCACAGACACACTCGTCTATCATCAGTATGCTTTACAGTGCCTCCAGAAGTTGTTTGCAATAATGTAAATCATATGAGGCATGCTACTCTACAGCTTAGTTTCATTCACACTGAACACTTCAGTAACATATAAAGAAGCTGCCTGACAAAAACTGGACAAATGAGCATTTTATGTGTGAGCTTGTCTTTCCTGTTACTTCATGTGATTTGTGCTTTTCTGTCACTCGGTGCGTCATCATTCTATATATCACGTCGAAAGAAAGGAAGTTTTACAGGGTGTAAAAGCCCAGTTGAGCCGCTGATCTGGACATTAATCTAGAGTTTCAAAAGTCCAGTAAGAGTCAAACCAATAGTAGCGGCCAATCCAATAGTGTAGATCTCTACTCCTTATAACATTCCTAATGCATCAGCCATTGTCTAGTAAAAATTGCTACAGCCAGACTATTCAAGTAGTTTGTTCTTTATTGTTTACACTCGGTAGTCAGTAGGATCAGATTTTCTAAGCCAGGCGTCTTTATCACTTTTCGTCTGAGTTACAACTATGACTACTTTTTGACTGATACACTGAACTCAGGATAAAATAATCAGTGGTTATGCAGCACACAAAGTCACACCTCAGACACACAATGTCACATGCAAAATTGTCTACGCTTAACTTTTAGTACTATAATTCATGACCTAAAGTTGACCTGCTCTATTTGCTTTGCATTGACTCGACTAAAAACGGACATTACTCGGTTTCTTAATAGAGCTTGAGTAATATCGTCAGTCTCTGCAGATCGAAACGGCGCTGTATATTTGCAGAGTAAAACTGTGTTTTGAGTACACACGTCATGACGAAAGTTTGAGTCAATCCTCAGTCTAGCCAGAATGGATAAACACGCCATGGAGTATGCTTTTAGCCTTTGAAACAACTGTGATCCCAAAATCACCTTCAACAGTCTGAAACCCGATCTGCGTGCACCCCCCACAATGTCAAGCTGAATACCACAGCTTGACTGAGCTCGACAAATGAGACCCCACTCTGTAGGTGGGATCTGTACTTTGTCAGCAAAAAACTGGGCTGTCAAAAGTAGTGTCTCTCATCGGCTAAATACAAGTAATGCTTACTTAAAAACACAATGTGCAACAACAGTGTATGTTCATTATTCTTTTTGGATTGGTCTCCATTAGCTTGCTTAGAGTGCATGCTGGTAAAAACTTTGGTTCACATAATTGGACATCATTTTTTTAGAGGAAGGAACAATGAGGCAGAAAATACAAAAAATACAAGACATAAAAATCGGAGAGTACAAGAAGAGTCACAGAATCAAATTAAAAGTTAGCAGTAAAACTATCCAAATTATCAGAATAAAACATGCTGCGCTGTCAAAACAGATTTAAATGCTTTCTCGTGTCTCATTTAACTTCTTGCAGACATGGTTCCTGTTTTAAATACTGTTGTGTGCATATTTGCATTTTGGTTCATTTTGCCTGTGTAAGTTTTTACATTGTATATATGTTTCAGGTATGCAAATGAGAATTAGGCATACATCTTTTACAAAAGCATCACACAATATCACAAAATGGAAAAGGAAAAAGACAAATATGAAATCAACTTTTTCACGAAAACACTACGCTTGCGGATATATTTTGCCATTTGGAACCCCTTAAAACTCTTTTCCCTCTAACTTTTAAAGGTCCACATTCTACTTTTAAACCTGAAAAACATTTTTTCTTCGTTTACAGACCAGACACCCACGCCAACACGTTTTTTAAAGAACTGTGAGGAGGTGGGCTTGTTCAGTGACCTGGACTGCTCAATTGAGCAGGAATTTTGCAAAGCCCAGGAAGAAGAGGACAGTAAACAGGTACTGGAACAAAAAGGAAAAAAAACTCAGACTAAAAAAAACAAAACAAAAAACAGATGAGACCAAAGCCACAGAGGTTAGGTGGTTAAGAGCTCTTATCTGGAGTGATCACATGAGTAATGTCGCTAACAGCGGCTCACACTGCATGAGCTGATAACACATTTTTTTATAGACTGGAAACACATAGACCTCATGCAACCACATTCTGCCCATTTGTTCAAAAATGGATAGCCACAAGTGTTTATTCACCGCTAATATTTTTGCTATATTTTCTCTCTTTTATCCAAACTATATGTTCCCTGTCTAGTTCTCGTGATGCCACTAGTGCCACGCTGCTTTAACCTCATCTGACTTGTCAACAGTGACAGACAGGGCTAGCAGGTGGAGATTTGTCACCCATCACAGATGAGGACAAAAGATATCAGGTTCTCCACCTGCAGCTTCAAACAGATCTTCATCGCTTAGAGAAGGAGTCCTATTTCTCCCAGACAGACAGACCCCTGAGACATCTTTTTCAGCAGTAATCAGGAAAAAATACTGACCAGACAGTCTTGTATGTGAGCAGAGTCACAAACACTGACGTTTGACAAAGAACATGATCATTTATGCATTATACATCTGCCCTGAAGCACCTTGACCTGAAACATGGGTAATAGTCAAATCACCACAAGACAGACTGCTTATCTAAGGTCTGGGAGTGTGTGCAGTCCCTGCTGCAGCTAAGCTGTTGTCTCTGTGGTTTGGCTCTGGAGATCGTGCGTGCTCAGGTCAGCCATGTCTAGGCTGCCCAGCCTGTGTGGTTTATGATGGGAGGCTTTGCCAAGTCAGCAGGAGGCGAGTCAGAGCAAGACTTGCAGGGAGTGTAAAGCACAACAAGATAAGAGTTAAAAATTTGAAACTTTAAGAAAACACCAAGAAGACAGTATGAAATAGTCTTATTTCCATATCCTGCAATATACTATCATAATGGTGAAGATTAAGTAATTGTACTGCAATGCAAAATACTTTATGGCACTGTAAGTGTGTGAGAGATACGTGAGTGTGAGTATTCTATCACTTGCAGCTATTTTAGTATGAATATTCATAATGTGACAGTTAAAAACTGTTGGTAAAATAAAAATAAAGGAAATATGGTCATCAATAAACTCTCAGCTCAGCACAGAAAAGCTTCTAGATGATACCTTACTTAGTTCCTCATTACCCATTCCCACCCACTGAATGTGTGAAGTCCAAGGCCAAATGGTTGAAATGCTTGTGTTGTTTTGCACTTGAAAATGCTCTTTATAGAGTCCTAAACCTCTATACTGTGCTCACTCGCCTCCTCTCTTCTCTTTACAGAACATTTCACTGCATGGCCAAGCAGGCCAAGGCCAGCACCAGCAGTCCCACTCACGAATGGGCAATCATGATACCAGCATAGTGATCCAGCAGGCCCTGCCCTCTCCTCAGTCCAGCTCTGTCATAACTCAGGCTCCATCAACAAATAGACAGATAGGGTAAGCAGACCGCAGTGGCCGAAAGATGTCGTGAAACATCAGCAGCGTAAATACAAGTAACAGGTACAAACAGGTTTTATGAAACTTGCTACTGAGAGAGGCATTTTCTCTTTTCTGTATGACATGAAACAGCAGTTGTTGAGCACTGCTGAGAATTGATGACAGACTGAAAACCGCCTGACAAGCGCAGTGATCTTTGGGGATTCTCTCACCTCAAGTGTGCCCCTGTTATACTGACAGCCTCAGTCTCATCCTGGTCCCTCTGTTTCTGTGCCAGCTGTCATCCCCCCATTGTCTCTGAGGCAATGTCAGTGTTTCATTACATTTGGAGCAGTGTGTGTGGGACTTGCCATTCGTGTTTTGCTGTTCATTCACTGTTGTCCCATAGCAGAGTATGCCAAAGAGGGTCCCAGAGGATAAGATGAAGTCATTGTTGAAGCCTAAGCTGTGACCGCTTTTACACAGGTTTAGCATTTCATGTTCTAAAATAGTTCTTTTCACAGTATGGGAATGGCAGCTGCCTTAGAGCTCTGCTTCTCTGGAACCTTTGCAGATAGAGAAACCATATTAATTACAATGTGTGTGGGTTGCTTCTTTGTGCTTATTACTTGTATATGCACACTGTACGTAATGATTGGGGTATTGCATTGGGTATTGATTGCATACATTTTGCCAACTCTTGCAGGGCTGTCATCTCTTTGAGTGAAAGGTCTTTCCCTCTGCTGCAGTTCTGTCTTAATACGTCAGTGACATAACGGTTATAGGAAACGCACACAAACATTTATGCACCTTTTTTCCCACATGAGGACTCTCCACTGACCTCATTCATTCCTTGTGCTTTAACTTCAGCCACCTTCAAATCTGTGCCAGGGCTTTGTTACTGTAAACCAGGCCTGTGGCAAACTTGTTAGACATTGAGATGGCTCAGAGTTAGGCCAGCCCTGTGTTGAGGCTGTCTTGTGTAGATTTACAGCTTCGGGAGCTAGTGAATATTGGATGGGAGGCCCATCACTAAGTCTGACTGACACCCCATCAGGCTCTTTGTTGAGGACAGGGATGGAATTTCAACCCCTTGGAGGAGCAGCAATCACTGCCAGTAACAGAGACGTTGTCAGGCCTGCTTCACCTGACTTTACCTGTCATTGTAAACTCTTTACCTGACTCACCACTTCACTTCGCAGCCCTTTCTGACCACAGAGCCCTTACCGGTTTGTTGAGAGAGCTGTGTTATTGTTTATTGTCGTAAAATCGCATCACTCAAAATTCAGAGACGATATGCCATGTGGTGGTGGTTGCCAGCCACAGAACTGCACCAAGTTGCCAGCTGCAGTGATCTGTCACACATGATCTGAGGCAACCTCTGAGCAGCAATTGTATGGTCTAAAGTTGCAGATGCGTCACTTGTTTACGAGGATGGCGGAATCCTGAAACACGAATAGGATGGGAATATTCACACAAGAGAAAACTGATCTGGAAATGTTCACATCAGCAGGAAAATGGGCTGAGGAAACCCCTCCACTGAAAAGCAGAACTTCCACAGGAAGCCATTAGGGCTCACCAAAGCCTCTGTGCACAGGGTCTCTCCACAGGAACTTCCTACATAGAGACCATGCTGGACACTTCACAGACTGGTGTACTCAGTCCAACACAGTCCAGATATTAGCCTGTTAATTCATGAGAATTGTAGGCTTCAATATGTTTTGATTTACTGTGCTTTTGTGAACAAGGTCATCATGTAAAACTAGAAGCACAGTTAGGTTCCCGCTATGTAAATCTTTGTGTTTAATTTGAACCATAATAACCTAAGAGACTATTAAAAAATGGTTATCCTTGTCACGACTGGTAAAGGTTGTGTATCTGATCATTGCAGGTCTATAAATCTTTTAGTATCAATACACTTTATGGGGCTCTGTGGTAAATATGTCTCTAAATGAGACAAAATCACCAAACAAAATCAGTTTAATCTCACTTCCATCTGCTTCTTCATTTTGTTCCTCTGCTCTGCTGAGTGCACAGCATGAGCATCCAATGAATTAGGATAACAAGTCATTTTCATTGCTCCACAATGTTTACTAAAGAGCTTTGAGGCTTGGAATCAATTAGGATTGGCTTTCCTCAAGTCCATTTACTTTAGGATTGAGCTGGGCCTGCAGCTGTGAAACCTGAGGACCTCTCTCGCTCTCGCTTTTTCTCTCCTTCCCTCAGCTCTGAGTCCTTAAAGGAGGTCTTGGGGGAGCTGCACTGACACAAACCAGTGTTAAAACCAGGCATAAGAAACAGCCAGCAGATCTTAATGTCACGGCTATCATTATCATACAAAGTGAAGCGGTGTCCAACTGTTCTGAATGCTCTCTGCTTTTCAGTTACAAACATCTGGTGCTGAGTTATGTCAGAGTTAAATGTGTTGGACATTACTAGTCAACCATGTGAGATACAACATTCTGTGAAAACCTCAGCCTTTTCACTTGTAAGTGGAGCTCGCTGGGTGGATGGGTGTGGGCACAAGGCATTAAAAAATGACATTCTTCTATTTTGGCTCCACAAAGGAATTCAGCCTGATTGTTTCCATTACATAGCACAATCAACCTGAATGCATCTGGGCTACGTGAATACAGTACAGATGTGGCAGATTTCATCATCAGTTGCCGATAATTTGATAGTTAAGTACTGCTTTCAACTATTATTTTTTTCGTTAAATGTACAGTACAGATGTCTAAACCTACTAAAGTGTTAAAGACAATATTTGAACTTATGAGATGCAGCCCTCAAAACCACTAACTGCTGATGTCAGGTAGTGTTGGTTTTTCACCATTTAACCAAAAGGTTTTTCAATTTACCTTCAATAATGAAAATAGAACTTTGTCTCATTTTGTTTTTGTACAAATGTGACAATAACCACATTAACTTTAAAGCAGCTCTTTCTATGCGGAGAGTCTATTCGCTTTTCTAGATTGTGGATTTATCTTTAAACCTATACATCTATCATTTGCGGTGTCCCACCCTGGGCGTACTGTGTGCAACTTGTAAGTTTGGCTGTCACATTGTGCACAGGTTTGAAGGAAGTCAATTTGTGGTTGTGTTTCCCATGCTGCTTTAAATGCACAATATTTTTCACACCTTCAGCACCCTTCTACTTGTGGTCCTTGTCTTTGCCTTTAAGGGAAGTAGCAGAAATAGATGTTGGCCTTCATGCCTTCTTAACAGCAAGGTTTCATGCAAAGTGTAGAGTGATATTAACTTCCTGTGTTTTTGCAAAGAGATTTGCTAGTGTGCTGATTGATCATGAAGAACCACTGGGTAGAAGATTTGCTTTTAATAGATTGAATTGTAGCAGTTCAATTTATTAAAATGTATAAGTGTCTGTGACAAAGTACATTTGCATTTCTATTTGATTGCAAAAGCTTGCGATCATCCTGTTAATCCACGATCATTGTCAGATATTATAGCTAGTGAGCACTTATTGAGAACAGATGTTCACGTCTAAACACAATGTGTACATGCTCTTTTACATACAGTGTAATCTGATACTCACTACTTCATCAATTGTTTAAAATAGCACCGCTGACCTACTATACTGAATTAATATTGATACAGCGGTGCCGATAGGTGGTTCATGATACACACTGCATATCGTATAGATTGCATAATAAGTCTTTCCATGCCTGTAATAACCCAGTGGTGCTGCCTTCTAAGTGCACTGCACTGGTGCATGAGCATAGAGAGAAAGGATGTTATGGGCTGTTTATGGATAAAGTTTGACCTCATGAACTTTACAATTTAAACAAGATGTCTTTTATTATTGTTTATGATTAGATAGCATTCACAAAGTTGTGATAAGGAGGGAGGTCCGTCCTGAGTATACGAGTGTGTGACCTCTACAGAAAGCTTAAGTTGCCCCCGTGCTCGAACTTGTTAGTTCTCCGCAAAAAAAAAAGTGGCTATTGGCTCCGCATAAATTGTAGAGCTAATCCAAATAGAAAGGAAGGAGGTAGACAGAAGAGAAAACTGGTAAGCACGGTACAGACGAATAAAGCTCAAACTATGTAATCAATTAAAAAAATAGTGAAAAGACAAAAAGAAAGAGAGAGAAAGCAGGATGTACATCTGACCTGAATTAAGATGAGCTCATTGTGTACTGCACTGGGTTTAATAGTGCGTTTTTAGAGGAACGCCCAGACTCTGTTCCCTCTCATTCCAGTGGGTCTGTGTCATCCCTGCCCTGGGGCCACCACACATGCAGGCTCCTGCACAAGCAACTCACACACAGGGATGTGCCTCAGAGCTCTGGGGAGCACAGGGATCACAATGTAGGGAAGTGTGGAAAAGAGGGATCAGAGGTGGACAGAGTAGGGGAAGAATGGGATCAGAGGTGGATGGAGGAGCGGAAGAAGGTATTAGGAGGTATAGATGGCGGAGAGGAAATGACAGTTCCTGGGGGTAAAGGAGAGAGAGTGAAGAGTGGCATCAGATGGTGAGGACATGGATTTTGCTGGATGGTGTGTACAGAATTAGAGGAAAAGATAGAAGCATGAAGAACATGGCATCAGAACAACGTGGGTGTGGGAAAAATGTATGGAGATTCTGAAAGAGAAGGGAAGATGGAAAGCTGAATGAGAGATGAGACTGACAGAAGACAGGAATCAGGTGGCAGGGTGACAGGAGCCTAGGTTGGCTTTACAGCAGAGACATAAACATGTTAATAAATAGTGAAGTTTTAGTAGATGAAAAGGGAAAAAGATGAAGTATCTCTGAAAGTGAAAGGGTCTGTTTATGTCAAATGTTACAGCACTAGTCAGGTGCTGCTGACAGATCCCAGGGTAGCTTGTAACAAGATGACTCATTAGCTGCTGAAGAGTTTTTCCGATTCACCGCCGATATGAATGGACTGACATGCTTTCGTTAAAATGAAAGCCAACCCATCTTTGCTTTCCTCAGCCAAGAGCATCTGATGATTCAAAACAGTATCATATTTGGTGAATAAATACCGCAACACTTACACTAATTTGCTCCAGAGTGTCACTCCCCACCATTCCTAAACTGTGCTTTGGCATGCCTTAACTCAGCTTGAGGCACCCTAATGTGAGGACACCCCAGCCCAGATCCATTCCAGTGAAGCACCCTCCCAGCATCCATCCCTTCTCTGGAGCGCTAATAAAAGTCAGCCTGTGTCGTAACCCATTATAGCTGATTTATTTGATCAGATTCGTATTATTTCCTCAGTCCAAACCCCATGGCACTCTCCTCCCACCAGTGATTAAAGGCAGTAAATCAGGGGCAGGTCCTGTGTAGTGTTTACTCAGAGAGCCAGGCAGCTGCAAGCTGTTTGAGGCCCTTGTTTCTCCCGGTATTTACCTCCGTTCCCATGGTGACTGCACCACCATCTCCCAAACGTCTGGAACTTGGCCCTAGGCTGTTTTGGTTACGTTCAAAAGTTTTTAGCTGCTGTGTCTACCCAGAGCTTGCAGTGACTTCACCCAGCGAGGAGTGAGTACAGTGATGCTGGACTGAGTTGAGGAGGGAAAGAGAGGGAAAAGTGAGAGGAGGATGGGAGGGAGGGACAAAATCTGGGGGTAGGCAGGCACAGGGTGGGGGGAGGGCGAAAAACCAAGAGCATTACATCATTGCTGGAGCCGAGTCAGAAAGGGAAGGATATGAGTCAGTGGACTCTCTCTCTCTCTCTCTCTGTTGGATGACAGCCAACCCCCTTGTGTATAAGTCCCCAGTACTTGAGTTGGAGTTGGGACTGTTGGGATTGGGACAGTAAAGCACAGTGTGTCTACAAAATTTGTAGATTACACACAGTAGATCAGGGGGACGTGGGTTTAGGCGTGGACACCATGAGGGGTCCGTGGTGGAAAGAAATATCATAATGATGTGGACAATTAGAAATAAGAGAGCACAAGAAAAAGTAAAAAAGGCATAAGGAGGGATGAAAGTCTACTAATGATGTCATGGTGGAGTGAAGATGGGTGGGTTTGGGCGGCGGCGGCGGTTCTTGGGCGGGGATTGTGGAGGAGAGCTGGGCTGAGAGCGAAGCACTCAGTAATGTGAGAGCGCAGGGTCAGAACTGCAGAGTGTCTACCTGCTCTCCCCTGGGGCCCACAGCCCAGGCTATTATCAGTCCCCTCAGTGGAGCCGAGCCTGTCATTATTCACTCACACACACACACACACACACACACGCACACACACACACACAGACACATGCATATGTTCACACGCAGCTTAATGAACAGTCACACACTCACATATGCACTTATTCACATATAAACACTTTGAGCAGGAGGATGTAAATACACAAAGCAGGAGGGAGCATGAAATATAGAAAGTTTCTTGTTTAACTCTTTATACTGTATTTGATTAGTGCCTTACTGACGGTGTACGATAGTGCTATATTAAAATGCATTATTTTGTAGAGTATAGTATTTATCAGAGTGAAAAAAAGAATAAATGGTTTAGTCTGTAAAACGCACAGGAAAAGGAAAGAGTGACACAATACTACATATTAAGAGTTCATCAGAAGCAGGAAATCTTTCATTTTAAGTTGCTGGAAAAAGCTAGAAAAACAAGTTCAGCCCTTTTTCAGAACTGTTGCTGAGGCGCTTTACAGTGTGGTTCTGACACTGTAATGCATAAGAAACGTTGCCATTGTGTTCACTTCAACAAGTAAGTTATATTTGTTTCTTCTAGATTTTTGGATTCACCGTTAGTGACTTTTTGCCGGCTGTCTGCAATGTCTTTATTTATCAGCAGAGTCAGCACAAAGCTCGGGTTAATCCCTTGAGGAAGTGCTGTCAGATGTTAGTGTTGTTTTTTTCTTCCCAGTGGACAAGCAGGTTGTGTTTTGGTGAATGTGGTCGTGATGGACAGAGCGTTCGTCTAACAGACAGGTGCAGAAGTTACAGTCTTCAAAAGGAGCCTTTATTCTCTGTGTCACAGAGCCTGTGTGTCTGTGTGTTTTTTTAATGTTGTTGTTTATTATGTGGCTGCCAGGATTAAGGATGAAGTATGACTGAAATAGGGCTAATTAATAAAAAAATAAACGTATAAAGCTTATCCTTCTTACAAAATACTGTTTGTTTAAATTAGTAGAATAGCACACATGATACATGTGGGAAACGAAAGCAAATACTGTGACAGTTTTAGAACAAAAATACTTTAAATGAGCCAGTTTTGTTTAGCTAATTGACACATCATAATGAGATACAGACGTGCTTCAAGTTAACATTCGTTTTTACTTCAGTGTGTTGCAAAAATCTGTTGAGAAAACTTCAGTCTGCGTCTGAATGAAAAATCGAGTCATCACGTAGTTATGAAAAAATGATGTAGTCTTCATCTACATAATCAACAGCATGTACCAGCATGCGACTGTTCATCCTTCTGAATGCTGGCAAAGTCTAAACACTGAGGGAAACTGTTGATGCAGCTACACTGCATACCTCATTGTACTTTCATGAGTTTTCCCATGTGGAAATGTTTGAATTCGCTGTGTTGCTCAGATGTCATACGCGCTGTTAAATGAGTGTGATTGTGATAAATTGGGATGTTATACTGGCATGACACATCGTCAGGATGGTAATAGTCCTGTGTGTGTGTGCAGCAATCTAAAATGTCTGGAGCATAAATGCACATATTTAGGTCTGGAAAAATACAGGTATTTATTCAGGTGGTGGAACGTTTGCCCTGTTACCCCCCTCCATTAGGCCATCACTCCTTCACCACTCACTATTACCGTAATCCAGGCTGTGATGTGGTGAATTGATTATGTTAACCCGTTGAACACAGCTAACCTAAATGCTTCTTGTTTGCTTGGAGGAAATGGAGCTTAAATAGCTGGTGAGTGGCAGCGCTGATTGTGGCGATACAGATAACTGGAGATTTATTGATTCTTCTGATGCAAGTTGTTGAAGAATCGTGCAGTGAATGCTGCTTTTAGATGTGAGGACTGAATAATTGCTGCATTCATGCGGGTGTTGCAGCACCTTGCAGCTGGGAATTGTTGTTCTTAGAAGCAGGGATTTGGTGACAGTTGTATAAATGATGTCACCGAGCGCAGATGTATTGGTCTGGGTATTTGTATGGCCAAGGCCTTGAGCCAGTGACTGAGACAGGACTGCTGTCAATAGTTTAAGCTTAGCCTGGGCCCTCTGTACATGTGATTTATTGATGTGGCCGTGAGTGTGGATAAGCCCGTTGGTCCGCCTGCTCTTGTGGTCACTGAAAGAGATTTTCCCCACAGGGCTTCCATTGCTTTAGCAGTTTCTAAATATGATTCTCATCATGCTCATCTCATGTGGTTGTTATGACAAATATTAGTCATTTATCATCACCAAAATCATTATTCATCCATTGTTTTTGGATATACTTTACAAAAGTAAAGTATATCCAAAAACTCATGAGATGATTGAAGTGCAGCATGCGCACAGGCTCACTAATGTTTTTTTTTTTTTTGGGGGGGGGGGTGGTGGTTCTGTTCTGAGTTTGTGGCTGTAGAAAGAAGAGCGAACTAAAAAAGAACGAGCTTGCGGAAAGCATTTTCTCTGAAAATGTTAAATTTACTTTAACATGTACGAATAGATTTCCTTAGCCGCCCCACTTTGTAGAATTACGATAATACAATAGTTTTTTTTTAGCGTGCGTGCTTTCAGCTCAGGGCTTTCCGAGAACATGGGGCAGCAGCCAACTTGCATGTTTGGAAAGTGATTACACTTTTAACCAGAAACACGAAAAATGAAAGCAATTCATTGCATTCAGAGACTCTGAATCTTTTGATATAAGCACCAACATTTCTCTCAGTATCTATGACAGAATCAGCCCCTTTAGTCTAAAAGGAAACACTTGATGAAGTTTTTTCTTTATTATTGTCAACGGAGCCACAGACCCTTAGTTTTTATAAGCACATCAGTGAGTCACATCAGGTGACAGCAAAATACCTAATCCTCCAAACTGCGATTGACAGAAGTCCCCTATATTTTTTATATTATTATCATGTTATGAAGTAATGTAATATATAATGTAATATATAGTAATATTCGTGCTCTGTTTTTGATGTTCCTGTCTTCAGAGTGAATGAGCTTCAAACCAGAGGGCTAGAATTGAGTATAAAAGTTAGACATGATCACCAACTATATCAGTGGGTAATCAAATTCCCTTTAGCAACTGTAGTTTTTAAACATACAATTTTTAAACTCACAAAGGTGACTTAAGCTAAGCTTGTCGTGCATTTTTTCACTTGCCTTCTTTCATGCCTTTGTATATTATAGTAATAATTTATTTCAGCACTTAATTTGTAGGAAATATAAAAACAGTGAGTCATTTATATCACACTATAATGTATAATACAATTATTCATACTCTGAAAGTACAGAAAGATAAAATTAACTGAGAATTAAACTTTTTTGTGTGTGTAAAAAAAAAAGAAGAAATTAGTAAATGTCCATTAATATACTAAAAAGGGATGTTACACTATATTATCACTTCTTTCTTCAATATATGCTTATACATTAATTTTGTGCTTATTAGGACACGTTAAAAACTAGCACTAAATTTCATGCTGGATTTGGTGCTGGTGTATGAAACAACAAAGAATAATATTCTTAGATTGTGTGTAGCAGGACAAACCCTTAAGTTCCTTGTCTGTGTCCTTTTAGGCCCGTCCCCGGCTCGCTGTCCTCACTACTGCACCTACGAAACAGACAGAGGCAGCCTCTGCCAGCCTCCATGCCTGGAACTCTGCCAGACCCGACCATGCCCGGCTCCTCTGCTGTGTTGATGCCTGTGAGTACCACAACAGATTACAGAGCATATTCACTTACAGCGGCGCTCACGCATGCAGAAGTAGACTCGTTTACTCCTGTGATGACAGTGCACTGTACATTCAGACTGAACATAAGCTGTGTTGGTGTTGCTGTGCAGTTTCGACTCTTCCTGCAGAAATGAATGGTTTTTTCCTGTGAGTTCAAAATGTAAATTTTCACTACAATTAAGCCAATTAAATTCAGAACAATCACATTGTGTAACAGGAAATGATAACAACATAGCGAAAGGCCCTCATGTCAGGATTGCAATGATACAACATATGTTCCGTTTGTAACATAAGACGGCTCAGTTTTATGGTGTGGAAAAATCCTTCCCATGTTTATTAAATTAAGGGCTAAGCGATTTTTGGGAAGATTGACGGTTCAGGAAAGGGGTGCACGTTTGGGTGATATTTTTACACAAAACACACTTACTGCAATTAAGATTGTGTGTCAGGTTCTAGACCCAAATCTCTGTGGACCAGGGGAAGGGGAGGGCAAGGAAAAGGTCCAGGCAGGGGTGGGGGTGAGAGGGCCCATGCCTCATGGAGAGCACCGCAAACTTCACCAAAACTTCAGCAGCTAAGAGGCCGCAACACCTTACACGCACACATGCATGTAGATGTTCAAGCAAACATATCTTCTTTCCTGTTTGCACCACACGGTGAACACGGGTCACCTTTCACCACATGTCATGTGAATTCTTCACATTCAGGTCTCAGCTATGACACATAACGACCAGACTAGAATCAATCAGAGACAGGTAGTGAGCGCATACACACAAAGACAGATGGTTAAAAATTTGTAGAGCTAACTAACCTATGTCTTTATTGAAACATCCTGCAACTAGACGACTTTGATGTTAGTCTGACAGATACTCACCAAACTGCTGTTAGAAACTCTCTCACACACACACACACACACACCCCAGTTGCCCAGCTTCCTGTGTTAAGTCCCTGCATGCTGGCTTCCTGTTTTGGGTCAGCTCCAGTTATCATCACACAGAGCTGTGCACAGGGCAGCCTGTCATGTGAAATCAGGCTCTCATGCGTTCTCATCTCATGCTCCATAACCTCAAAGGATAGGTCTCACACTTAAAATGCTTAAAGGTTTTTGGTGCATACCTGTGAGAAAGCAGTGATTGCATCTCTGAAAAATCACCACTCTTAGCATAAATAGTACAGCATGATTGATATGTGTTTAAATAAAGCCCTGTTTACACTTGCGTGATTGTTATTGTATTGTTGTAATCTTCAGATGGAGAGACAAATGTCCATGGGCTCCAATATGATGGGCATGCAAAGCCCCGCCCACAGCAGCTCCTGCTCCTCCACTCACATTCCCTCCATGCACTCAGAGGCCAAACTGGTGAGTATATGCAAGCATTCACATGCATACATACACTTTTATGCCTGCACACACACACAAACACACACACACACACACACACACACACACACACACACACACAAGCTGAAAAGTGTTGCAACCTTCTTTTCCACTGGGCTCTGCCAGCAAGGCTGCACTCTTAGGCCTGTGTGGATTTCATCATTTGGTGTGTAATCAAAGCTGTGTCTGAACCTGCCAGTGCAGTACCGGAGACTCTGGCTGGAATAAAGGGCCCTTTATGTGGTTGTGGCTCGGCTGCCCACCAACTGCCTGATGTATATCTTAATGTACAGAACATGTTCTGTAGGTCCTGCAACTTGTTAGCACTAGTTTAACACAGCAGGGAAAAAAATCAAATGACCTCATCCTTTCACAAAGCATTTAGTTGTAGAAGTTGGAATAATATGTAGGCACAGGTTTTGAGAGTTAAAGAAGGACTGGCAGAAGAAAAAGCTCAAAAAGAAAAGATTCTTTGCACTGTTCTTGATTTTGAATGCCAGTACTGCTGCAACACTTGTGCTGGTTCATGACAGTGCACCTCTGATTAATGAAAAATAGCTAAAAAGTTACATTTAAGGTGATATGAATTGATTAATGCTGTAGCAACGTGACCAACTGCCAACCTTTGTTTTAAAAATAAATAACTGGAGTGTCATGACATGGATATCGAGAAAAAAGAAATTATAAACCATAATGAAAAGAGTTGGCTGCTCTTTGTGTTTGGAAAGGTTCATAGATAGCTGGGTTTACTGGAGAGAAACATCCTGGAGAGGCAAAGACACACACATAGACAGAGAGAGAGGGAGAGAGAGAGGGGTAGCAGAGGTCATTAGAAGAGTTATTGGTCTGATAGAGGAGAGCGGGAGCAGTCCCAGGGCATTTAATTCTCCCTCTTCCTCCCGTTCTCTCAAGATTGATCGCCTTTGTAGTCTTTTGAATCTCTTCAACTGTTCCTATGGTAACACACTAGGGTAACACAATATTAGTGTATTAGGCTTATCTCTCCCCTGGCCATCATCCAGACATGTCTTACTCTTTTTTTTCTCCTCCTATCTGTGTAATTGAATTGTAAATGCTCTGTTAGGCCTCCTATAAACATATGCAGTCACTAAATGGCTGCAGGCCCCCTAACCATGCAACTTTCTGGTTAGTTGGCCATTCGGGCACGAGGCACAGCAACCCAATGTGTATCAATTGAGATTCTGCTCCCTGATGTCTGAACACAACTGATGGAATTTTGTGATTGTGGACAGAAAGTGAGAGACTAATTGTGTTATCCCGGTGCGATCTCCAGCGTGGGTTTCATAAGCATAGACGGGGTCTCTAATGTCTCCAATATCCTCGCCCGGGCCTGGTCGATAAATACGGCCTCGCTATCGGATAACTGGGCCATGATCAGGCCCATGTGTCCCCTGCGACGATCTCAATCCGGCTCTAATCGCATTACCCTGACCATGTTGACTTTCCGCCAATGGGAAATCTTCGCACTGTAACCCCACACCTCGGAGGAACGGATCTGGATGCACTCTTTGTGCTCAGCGTTTACATTGTGAGAGCAGAAGAGGGGATTGAGTGGGACTTTGATAGACATGAAGGAAACGGACAGACAGGCAGAATAGGCAATAGAATTAAAAGGCGAGAAGCAATATTGATATACTGCAAGATCAAACAATGAATAAGAAGGGAGAAAATAGAAGACTTCTTAGGGAAAAGTAGAACCAGTTTCCTTTGTCTTTTCATGTTTGTGCATGCATGTATGGCCATATGGGTGAGCTTGCTGCTGTTTGATATTTTGTGGTAACTGGAGGCATCGGTAGCAGGATTATCCCTCCCCTGTCAGAGAAAGCATGCCCTGAGCCTGGGCTAATGAAGGCTAATTGATTTTGTGGTGGGCCAGAGCAGTAGGGAGGCCTGTCTCTGGTGTAAATAGTTAATGAGCCAAAGGACTGCTGTGGCCCCTTGGGGACTCATATCTTGCTCTAAGCTCTCTGTTTGTGCTCTCTGGGCTAAAGACTGTATCTGCATCAGTGCCCATCTTTGTTCTTCTGATTTTCTACTTAAGTGCCATCATTTAAGTGGTATAGCAAAGCTTGATGGTGGAATAATTGATATGTTTTTTTTTTCTTAATGCTTTTAGTTTGTTGCCTGGGAGGGTTGCTGGGATTGGAATGTTTTATTAGTTTTAGCTCAAGTGTTTTTTTCCCCATTCTTGTTGTGAGGGACTGGGTGCTCTTGGTGCCGGGTGTGGTTGAATTCTGCTCTGTTGTGGTCTGGGGAATTGAATAGTGAGTGTTGTGTGCTGGAGCTTGTGGGATAGTTGACCCTCGCAGCGTGGAGGAAACGCAGTACAGAGGAGGCCAAGTTCCACAGCATGCCGGCCAAAGCATTACATCACCACTCCTTACGAGCGCACGCACACACACATATATGCACCGCGCGTGGACCAGCACTGTGTCATCTTGCTTGTACAAATAGCTGCAAAATCATGCACACACGTGCACCCACACATGCATGTACAGGCAGCCAAGACTACTTGAAAAACGACTGACAGATGAGATGCACACACAGAATACATGCATGCCTATAAAGGAAAACTGTAAAACATTTCTGAATACTTGTACTGTTTTCTACTCCCCACACCTACACCCCCAACCCACCCCAACCCTCACACACCACAGACTCCCTATGCTTAAATTTTGATATTTTTGTTCATGCAATGAAAGGTAATTGCTATCATTTTTCATCTGTAACAAGAAAAACCCAAACAAGCCCTTATCAAATTTCCCCTAAAAACAAACTCGAGTCTATGAATGTGGTGCATGGCTCATGTCAGTGGCACTGTTTTCAGCATGGTGCACTTTGGCATTGTTTTATTGTGTCTTTTAACTGAGTCCCATGCTTTCCACACATCCTGACTGCTTGCTAATTTCAGAAAGAGGGGCCTTGAAAGGGCTTTGTGCTGGTGTATGAAAATGTGTTATTTATTATCTCCCAATTATCTATTGTTTATATTGTTACTAAGGACAATAAATTTGTCACTAAGCATCGGGCTAGGTGCTGAGATTTTTATGTGGTAAACAATACTATATGTTCTTTCACTGCAGCCTGCTTGGCTGTGGAGCTGGCACTAGATTGGTGGATGACATAATTCCTGGCATGCTCTAAATATGCTCCTTTTTACTTGAAGGGGGGGAGGGGGGGCAAGCAGTGCTTCTCTTAAAGGAACATTTCATAGCACACAGGAGGGCCAATAATCAAAGTATTCCACGTGCACTGATGTTGAGTTTTCATTTCACTTGCACAAACCTTGCTGTTAGTTCTTCAGGGTAACTCTTTCGTACATGTTCACTGTTTAGCGAAATGCTTGATCTTTAATCCTGATAATCCAAATACTAGTTGCAATTCAGTAACTGCACTAAACTGCACCTATTTTGCTCACAAATTCCAAAAAAGTGAGGCAGCTGCAGATGTTACAGTTTTCATCTCTGCCATGTCATGATTGATGAAATGATTACCTTAGTATAAAATCATTTGCAAGCAGTTAAACCATTAGCATAAACTGTAACTCTGTTATGTGTTCCATTCATTTTCTTTCACCATAGTAGGGGAGCACCTCTGGCAAATTCTCTTGTTGTGAGGAGGAGGAGGAGCAGTACACACAATGAGAGTCTAACTACAGGTTTTGTAAGCAACATCTGTATGAATGGTGGCATTGTCGGGGTATGATGTCACTGAGCAGAGACGCTGAGCTAAGAGCACAGCTGAATCTGCAGACTGCTTGCGTTAACTCTAGCTTGTATGTACATTGTGTGTGTTTGTATGCATGGTCATGATTGTGTGTGTAAATGCCTCTTTTTTTCACTGCACTGGCACCCCGTCTGGTACTCATTGTCCTTGGAGCCAAAACACATCTGTGGACAAAGTGGGCTAAAACAAACCATGAAGTCAGAGTTTGCATATGGTTTGTGATACAGATCAGTTATATGCATATGTGTGGTTAGTTAAGTAAACGTGGAAGATGTGCAGTCAACTAGTGACAGGGTACAAAGGACACATAGAGAGAAGGTTAAATACTTTGGATGCAGCAGAAGTTTATATGACTAGTGGTGGTGGTGGTGGTGG